TTTCCCTCTACGGCGATAAGTGAAAGTCGAAAGATACTCGAGCGGAGGAGATCGTCGGAAGAAAAAAGTATCCCAAGCGCCACGTGCCGATCACGCGGACATTCAAGAGACGTCGCACTCGTCTCGGCTCATATCTATCGGACGGGCAATCTAGCGAGTGCTTAGCCGCCCATCACCAGGACCGGCGCTCGGGGCGCTCCTCGAGGATGGGTGGATGGATTGGCGAAGGGTGAATGGTACAGTGCGCGGAGAGGGTTGGAGGGACGAGGTGCAATCGAGCGCAGACCGGCTGCTGGCAGTGATCGATTCGGGGTTGCGGTGCGGCCGGAGGCAAGGATGTCGAAGCTCGGCGCATGCGCCATTGGCCGCGGAATAGCCACCCTTACCAGTGCCTCGGTCGCAGCTGCGCTCGTCATCCTAGGTCCGTTGAGCTCCTGGTGCACGGCCGGAAACACTCGCACGTTACACGCTATCACTTCCGACGGCTAATGAGCCCGGCGGTGGCACCGGGGACCCGGCGCACGCGCACCTTCCTCCTCCTCCTCCTTCCTATCCTCCCTCCCTTTTTCAATTCCCATCCCCTTGTCCCTCCCCCACCTCTTCCGCCACCTTCAGCTCCTCTGCCGGCGCCGTCGCAGACACCGTAGTCATCGTCGTCGTCGTGGTCGTCGTGGTCGTGGCCGTCGTCACCGTCGTCGTAATCGCCACCATCAGCAACGCCACCACCGCCGATGTCGACGCCACCGCCGCCGCCACGGTTGCCCCGACTTATATATATACACGCGAGCTGCGCGGGAAAACGACGAGGACGGAGATAAAGGCGCCCCGCGTTCCACTTTCCATGCGCTCGGGTCCCCTACTCCGATCGGGCAACGCTGTCGTTGGCGCGACGAGGGCGGGCGGTCGGGGGGATTGTCAAGGGAGGTGGAGAGGCGTCAGAGGGGCGTCCAGACGAACAGACGCCTTATCAGAAGTCTAGCTCTACTAACTCCCAAGGCGTCGTAGGCGGCTAGATGCTTTTCTCTAGCCGATGCTTCGGTTTTTGCCGAGCAAGGACGAGCCCTTGGCCCGAGTTTTCTTCGAGACAGATCGAGATCGAGAGAGAGAGAGAGAGAGAGAGAGGGAGAGGCTCGTTTGGAGTTTCCGGGTATTCATCATCCTGCTCGTCGCACGTGCTCCACTTGCCCCGAACTCGTACTTTCAACGGATGAACCTTGATGCGAGAGACGCGCCTGCCACTATCCACTCTGTCATTTTTATAAATATTTTTTTGTTCTTTACGGTTACTACCGAAATACTTGGACGTACTGACCTAAATCGGCCGAATAGCGTGATGAGATAACACCGACGCAACGTTACGTTGATCTAGTACACAACGTGTAAACTGTGTTAGAGAAATGAAGGTAAGATGACTCTTTTCGACGATTGGTCGTCTAAATCGAAAATCATCGGCTACTCGACAATTGCGCAATCCGTACACTTACAGTACTTCCATGATCAAAAGAGTCGAGCATTTTTTAACGCAAACGTTTGGTTATCGGTTCTAACCTGTCCGATATATGAAAATAATCTGCAAATAATAATATTTACTTAATTACTACTATCGATTACATTTAAATGTAGAATCTCGGGCAATTTGAAATCGATTGAATGATTCGAGCATACGATTTTATTTCCAAATTATGGTTCTGGTCCCTAACGTCAAAAAAAGGTCTCAGCTTTCTTTATTTGCGTATTTTTATGTATACTATCCGTACCAAGTGATTAGTCCATTAAATCCGAATGATTTATCGCAGTTAATTTTAATGTAAATGGGATGAAATATAAGAGGATAGTATACGCGATTTTTTATTAAAATAATTTTTAATTGTAATCAACCGCACGGCAAAGTGTGGTACAGTGTTTTTATAATTTGCCAATTCAATAAAAATATATAATAATTTGAAAACCCGAAAATAACCTTATATGTTCAAACATTATAATACATTTTGATGAAATACATAAAAAAAAATAAAAAAGGTTCATCAACTGACTGTACGTTCGATAATTGAGCAAGAAAATAAACTTTTTTCAAATATGAATTTTACAAATATACTCTCTTTTCGTCGGAAAATTTTCTTTCTTTCTTTGCTATAATTTATCCTTAAATTTTAATACATAAAATAACATGTCTACATTAATCTTTGAACCTTTATATATGTATATATACAGGATAACTAAAAATTAAAAAATTTAAGCACAATTGTTAAAAATATAGAATCATAAAAAATCATAAAAATTAAAAGAATCATCAGCCATGCAAGACTAAAGGTATATATATATATATATATATATATATATATATATATATATATCACTAACGTATATGTGTATATAAATTATTATTAATTAAGTATTAAAATTATAAAGCAAGTATTTAGTGAAGTAAGAGTAATGTTTAACTATTTTGCGAAGTGTATGTGAATGATCGAAAAACTATGCTTTGATCATTTGTTTAAGAAAGCCTTAATTGATTCGGTTAATAAGCACGAAAGAGAAGATTTCGAATTCATTTATCTCAAAGTGGAATGTCGTGTTGAATTGTTACGTTGCTACGTACGAATGTCATGCGAAGCTTAGATTCTTAAATTAAATGTAACTCACTTTTTATCCTATGATTCCTGATTTATATCGAGAAAACCTCTCAACCACTCGAGCTATAATCTCACATATTCCCATCGTCTATCGCACTTAGCCAAAATATAAGGAGCTGATCAGAGAATCTCGCTTGGGCGTTATAAACAGTAGGAAGAAGCGGCTCGTCGGCCATGGACTCGAATGGTCGGGAACTCGAAGCTTCGGCGGCTGCGAGATTTTGCGACGACGCCGAGGAGGTTCTGCGGTCAGACGTTGGTCATTCGATTTTCGCGATCGGCGGTCCACTGAGGAATGTTTTAGTTAAGCGCGGGGGCGGAGATCCGGTTGATCGGCCATTACCGGTCCGGCCAAACCGAGTCCGTTCG